GGTCACAAGCTGCAGGAGAGCGGGGGCGGGCAGGGCAGAGGGGGGGGCCTGGAAAAGGCCGAAGTGTTGCCTGAGCCTCTTGGGAGAGCTCAGCGGCCAACCCCCGCCCCCCAGAAACGGAACAGTGGACCCGGGAAGGCCAGGTGGGCAGCGCTTCAAGGTTGAGCTATTTATGGGAATTTTGGGATGGCGATCGATGGGATGCTCATGGCGCTGCAACATTCCTTCGCCGATCGCGATCGATTGATGTCTATATTCGTGTGTTCGGCAAGCCGCCGCGCGCCTTTCAACGTCAGTGCTACTCGCGAGGCGCACGTCCTACATTCTCTTTTGTCAGGACTTGCCCGCCTGGACCTTGCAGTCGACGGCACAGCTCCTTGCTCGCATTGGTTATCTCCCCCCTGTCCAGCTACAGCGAAGGCGGCGGGACATGTTTTGGAATTGGACTGGAGGGGCCTGGAGGGGACGGGTTACAGCGAAGACATTGCCATACAAGCCATTGGGCTCAGGAGGGGTTGTGGTTTTCGGACGGTCCGCAGACCTACATAGGTCGGACAACCAGTTCTTGGCCAAGGCTCGCCGTGGCCATAAAAGTCCCGTCATTCCTTAGCCCGCGTGCACGGTGATTGTATTTGGGAGGTGCAAGACGACACAAGCACAAACAAAATGGGTGTTCATCGACATATGGATGTATATACATCTACCCATATACATATATATATATATATATGTGTGTGTGCATGTACGAAATTAAAAGGAAGAGGAGCAGTTGGGAAATATGGAAAGCACGTAAAATCCTGGAACGTGTGACGATCTATGTGTGCCCTCCTGGGCCCCTTTCTGTAGAGCGGTGCGGTGCGGCCAGGACAGGGCAATGTTGGAAAAGCGCAGGGCGAGAGGTGGACGGCGGAAGCCATGGCGGGACGTGCTCGACACGACTCTTCTCGCATCTTGAGCGTAGGAGAGGGAAAAGGACACAGGGCAAGCTGGGTGCGCTCGCGCCATATCTGCCGAATCTTATGCGACCCATCCCTTCCCATTGCTTTGTTTTTCCTCCATCTGCCGACGCGTGTCATAGCGGACTTGGAGTTCCAAAGAGGACCCCAGAGGGCAAACAGAGGCGAGGGAGGAGGAGGACCGAGGAGATCATGTGTAGGAGGGATGGCGAGGAGGATGGAGGATGGAGGCAAACGGGAGATGGAGAGGGACAGGAAGGAGGTGGATGGGAGGAGCAGGACCGATTCTGATGTTCCACCGATCCGATGCGGCCTGACGCTTGCATGGCGTTGCTGTGAATCCTGACGCAGCCGATCCGATTCGACTTCGAGTCCGTGCCGACGCAGCCAGATCCGACGCACATCCCGATGCCGATTTCCCGATTAGATGCTGACTGTTCCTGCCCTCCTCCGCTCTCTCGTTGTCAACCTTCTGCGCTCTTCGCCCTGGCACTCTGCAAGGACGGCCACGTGTCGCTGTGGGACATACGAGCGCCGCCCCACCCGGCGGTGCAGGGGGCCGTGTCCCTGGACCCGTGAGGGGCGAGGGTAGGGACCGGAGGAGAGGGCACGTACGGCCGAGCATGCAGCAGGCTTTGTGCCCCCCCCTCCTCTTCCCTCTCCTCCTACGACCCCTCCTTCTCCTCCTACCCCTCCCCCTCCCCCTCCCCCCCACCCCATCCTCCTCCTTATCCCCCTCCGCCTCCTCCACCTCCTCCTCCTCCTCCTCCTCCTCCTCCTCCTTCTCCTCCTCCTCCTCCTCCTCCTCCTCCTCCTCCTCCTCCTCCTCCCTCCTCCCCCCCTCCCCCCCCATCCTCCTCGTTCCCTTCCACCCCCTCCTTCTTAGTCTCCCCTTCCCCTCCCCCTCCCCTTCCCCCCCCTCTCCGCCTCTCTCTCCTCCTACGACCCCTCCTTCTCCTCCTTTCTCACCCTCCCCCCCCTCCTCATCCTCCTTCTCCTCCTTACCCCCCTCCCTCCCTGATCGGAGGAGGGGGCACGAAGTCTGCTGCATGCAGCTGGTTTCGGCCCCGCCGCCGGGCGGTTTTCTCGATGCACTTGCACCTCTGGGCGCCAGGTGGCGCTGGGGGGGCCAGGTGCGCGGGCTCACACCCGACACCCCCACTTTGCTGCCCCCATGTTCGGCGTTGTTTTTCGGACGCATGCTTCAGACCAGAAGATTTGTTACCATTGTTGTGAGTTTCGTTGTGGCCAGACCACAGAACACCAGAGAATGTATAACCAAGCATGGCCGCGGAGTGTTTTAATATCACAGATCATCCCCCCCTTTGCATCCGACCGACCCAAGCGGGCTGCAGTGAGCTCCTCCTCCTCCGCCTCTTCTCGAAGGCCCTCGTGTTGAAGAGAGAGCACCAGGCGTCCCTCCGCCTCTCCTCCTCCCCCTCCTCCCTCCCTCCTCCCATGATCATCATAATCACCATCATCATCGTCACCATCATCATCACGACAGTATTATCAACGACGCTACTCACAACTGCATATGGTTGGGTCCTTCGCCAGGCTAGTTGCTCCTCCTATGCCACGTCTCTGCACTCTTCATCGGCCACTGCCCTCCTGCCAGCGCAGGCCTCGCCCTCTTGGGGTGCTCTTGCCTCCTCTTCCCTACTCGTATACATCTCCCCCTGCCCCGTGCCTCCGCGCCACAGCAGGACCATCGAGTCAGGAATCGGCCTGCCCGCAGGTGCCCCACGACAAGCTCTGACCTCCCAGTGGCCCCAGGGACCTACAGAAGCTCTGGGTCAGCCCAGGACCAACCAGGTTCGACGAAGAATGTGTCCCAAGATGTCTTGTATCGTTTCAGAACGTATCGCCATACGTGGCCATTGTATAGTTGTCACACCCTGCTGCTCATGAGTCCACAGTCTGCGGCGGGGAGGAGGAGGAGGAGGAGGAGGAGGAGGAGGAGGAGGAGGAGGAGGGGCAGGCTTGCGGTCACGTCCATGGTCTGCTCCCCGCTGGTCTGGTAGGGGTTTGCGCTTTTTATCGTTTGGGGGCCTGGCCGGTTCGTGAGAGCTCGCGTCTGGTCTGTCCGTCATTCGTGGGCTCTTGTTGTTGGAGGCCTGTGGAGGCGAGGCCGAAGTGAAGCCATCGAGGCCGATTTCGTTTCGTGACGTGTGCGCGGGCGAGGCGGAGCTGCTCGAGGGCGAGAGAGGTCCTACAAACGTGGGGGTAGTTCAAGTCGGATTGCTTCGCCCCTGTGTGCGCGCCGGGGCCGCCGGGGATGTCTCGGGATTGCCCCGTAGGTTGCCCAGTAGCTGTCCCGCGGTTGTGCCGTGGTTGTCCCGTGGTTGTCCCGTGGTTGTCGCGTGGTTGTCGCGTGGTCGTTCCACGGTTCTCTGGTGAGGAGGGAGCAGGAGGAGAAGAAGGATGAGGAGGACGAAGGAGGATCATGAGGCGGAGCAGGAGGGCGAGGGACGAGGAGGAGGAGGAGGAGGAGGAGGAGGAGGAGGAGGAGGACGGAGGACGGAGGACGGAGGAGGACGGAGGAGGACGGCGTGGAGGAGGGAGAGGAGTCGGACGGCGGCGGCGGGAGCGCGCTCCTTGCCCCCATCCCCTCTCCTCTCTCGTGATCCCGCCCTTCCGCGTGCAGCCGTTTGGGCTCCACGGATCGTTCCGTCTTCACCTGCCGCCCGCGGGCCTCCCCTCGGCCACGAGCCACCACCTGCCGCCGCCCCGTTGGCGCGATGACGGGGCAGTTTCCGGGCGGCATGATGGGAGGCTGCGGCATGCAGCAGGACAGGGCTCGCCTGGCAGGAGGCCACATAGGGGGCCCCACCCCAACGCCCCCCACGATTTCAACAGGGGGGAGCGGGGGGTAGGGTTCGCACGTGGCCTCCTGGTTGGATTTCTCCGGTTCGGTTCGGCTCGGTTCCGATGGGTTCCGATTCCAGTTCGATTCGGCTTCGGATTCCGATGTGGATCCCGACTTCTCAAGGAGGCCTTACTGTTATTCCGATGTCCGCCGATTCGATTCCGCCCGACCTGGCTGCCGATTTCCGCTGGCCCGACTCATTTCGATCGAGGATTCGACTTATTGATTGGATTCTGGGCTCCTTATGGCAGGACCCCATGCAGCTGATGCAGATGATGCAGATGATGCAGCAGCAGCAGATGCAGCCGCAGCAGCAGATGCAGCCGCACCAGCCGGCGTGGGAGCAGCCGTCTTACGGCAAACAGGGCGGCGGATATCAACAGGGCGGTTGCGGAGGATACCCAGCCCCAGCAGGCCCATGCGGAGGCTTCCCGAGCATGCAGGACCTGGCAAAGGACAGTTCTTCGGGCGGAAGCGCGGCCACTGTCCATGACAACGAGGTGAAGGTCGTCGATAACCGCGGGCAGCTGGTGCATAATCACATGCGTTTCGCCACATTCCATGACGTGCCCTTCCCCTCCACCATCAAGGACCAGCTGCTGCAGGCCGGCTTCCCAGCGCCCTCGCAGATCCAGCAGTACTGCTGGCCCCTGGCGTTGCAGCAGTACGACGTGATTGGCGTCGCGGCGACGGGCAGCGGCAAGACACTCGGGTTCCTGCTGCCCTGCTTCAGCTGGATGCTGGAGAAGCGCGTCTCGGACCGGGAGCCATCCATGCTGGTGCTGGCGCCCACGCGCGAGTTGGCGGTCCAGATCCAGGAGGAGTCCCGGAAGTTCGGCCAGTCCAGCGGCCTGCGCACCACCTGCTGCTACGGCGGCGCCCCCAAGCACGAGCAGCTCCGTGAGCTGCGCGCGGGAGTCCACGGCGTCATCGGCACCCCAGGGCGCATCAACGACTTCCTGGAGGGCAACCAGTTGCGCCTGGAGCGCGTGGAGAAACTCGTGCTGGACGAGGCGGACCGCATGCTCGACATGGGCTTCGAGCCGCAGATACGTAAGATCCTGGCCAAGATCCCCAGGCAGCGCCAGACGCTGTTCTTCACTGCCACGTGGCCCGCGAGCGTCCGTCGCCTGGCTAGCGAGTTCCTGCGCGACGCCTTCCAGGTGCAGATCGGGAACCGGGACGAGCTGAAGGGCAACCAGGACATCACGCAGATCATCAAGGCCTGCAGCCCGCACAACAAGAACACGATGCTGATGGACGTCCTGCGCCAGGCCTCGGTCGCGGACCGCGGCAACGCCTCGGCCAAGGGCATCGTGTTCTGCAGCACGAAGCGCATGTGCGACCAGCTCTCCCGCGACCTGAGCCAGAAGGGCGTGCCCTGCTCCGCCATCCACGGAGACAAGGGCCAGCGCGAACGGGAGCAGGCGCTCAACGACCTCAAGGAGGCACGCATCAAGCTGCTGGTGGCCACCGACGTGGCGGCGCGAGGCCTGGACATCAAGGGCATCACGCTGGTGGTGAACTACGACGCGCCCGGGAACACGGAGGACTACGTGCACCGCATCGGCCGGACCGGGCGCGCGGGGCAGAAGGGCTACGCCGTGGCCCTGATCTCAGACCGCGACGCGCACGCGCTGCGCGGCATCATAGAGGTGATGAGGCGCACGAACCAGGACTGGGGACACGCAAGACTCGAGTTTGCCAGAATCTAGGCCTCCTAGATGGGGTCCGAGTAGATGGGGTCGGAAGATCGCGCCGCATTGCCGATGCATCGATGGTGCATCTCGATGTGGAGACCGTTTCCCCACGCCGACGTCGCCCATACATCGCCGACGTCGCCGATGCATCGTCGATGCATGGCGATGCATGGCGATGCATTGGCGATGCGGCGCGATCCTTCACCTATTCGGACCCCTTCTAGTTGTGGAAGTCGATCAATGGAGAAGAAGCGTGCTGCCAAATAATTTCCAGATGTCTAGAAGATCTTTCAGACATGCCTCAATCATGTACAACAGCATGTGTCAAACATGTTTATAGCATTGTTCAACAGTTTAGACACATAATTATTCAATGATAGGATTGTTCGAGTGTCCGGTGTCACGGCATCCGCAACCTTCTGGGAGGCCTCTAGACACGCAAGATTCGAGTCTGCCAAAGCTCGGCTCTTCGGCCGCTGTCCGACGGCCTCTGCGTGGGCCTCGTCGGTCCAGGTCTCGCGAGACGTCTTTGCGGCGCGGGTCTCGCGTCAGAGCTTAGACCGGGCCCCGTCAGTGTCCCTGACGGCCCCGACAAGCAGATTCGAGCCCCCTGAGCTCGAGTCATTCCAGAGGCCCGATGTTCTGCGATGAGATTCTGCCTGGTGGGCGCGACGCCCCAGTTCCGCGGTGCTGCTCGGGTTCCTTCGTCTTGGTTCCTTGCATTGGTGGCGCTCGGCGTTGCTCGGGTTCCTTGGTCTTTGTGCACTGCTCCATTTCTCGGGCTCCTTGGTCTTAGTTTCTTGCTTCCGTCCTCGGCGGGAACACGACCAGGAAATGCGATGCAAGGCCAAGCAATGCCAACCAGTGCCAAGCAACGCAGAGCAACTCCAATCAGTACCAAGCAACGATTCCAAGCAATGCCAAGCACCGCCAAGCAATGCCAAGCAATGCTTTGCATTGCATTGCGTGGCCTGGCTTTGCTCAGGACTGCTTTGAACTGTTTTGGGAAATGGGACCCCTACTTGTGGTCCCGCCTTGCTCATATTGATTCTGCTCGGATCTGGGTATCCAGGAAGTCTGGACCTGTCCCCCCTGGACCAGATTTTCATCCTGATTCGTTTTTGTGACACGCCCGGGGCCCCGTCTGGGCCCCAAGAGGCCGAACACGGCGAAAGACCTCCGTCTTGACACTAAAAGTCCAATTTGGGGGTAAATCAGTTCTGTAGTCGATCTCTTACTCGAAAGACGTTGGAGGCCTTGGCACGACTCCCCGACAGGAGGTCACGCCTGAGATCGAGCGCATGGCCGCGAACGCCGGGCCGCCGCCGCCGTCCGGCCGCGCGCTGCGCGGCAAGGGCGGCGGCGGCGGCGGCTCCTTTGGCAGCTCCTTCGGCGGGGGTGGCGGCCGCGGCCGAAGCCGCAGCAGGAGAGCGTTTTTTTCATTCCCGGGCGATAGCGGGCGTTACCGGTACCGAGGGGGGGGAGGGGCAGGGGGCCAGGTTCCACGCCGGCGCCGTCTGGAAGTGTGGAGGACTGGCCGCACACACACACACACACACACACACACAACGGAGGTCAGCCGAATCGTGACGTCACCTGGGAGCCCAGACCCCCGACGTCACGATGTTTTCACAACGTCGACCCCCAGAGGTCTGGACCCCTTCCCGGGGACCGGTTTTTCACCCTGAATCGATGTTTGACAGTCCCGAGGCCCGGGAAGGGCTCCCTCAGAGGCCGAGAACAGCGAAAACCCTCCCGTCGCACTTTGTTCACAACGCGAGGAGGTCTGGGAGGGGGGTGGGCGGCCAGGGCCGGCCGTCCTCGCGAAAAACAGCGCTCTCCAGGGGCCGCGGGCGCAGCCGCAGCCGCGGGCGGCGCTGATGAGCGGCCCAGAGGCTCTGGGCCTCGCAGGCGGGGTCCGAGCATGATGGGGTCCTCCTCCTCCTCCTCCTCCTCCTCCTCTTCCTCCTCCTCCTCCTCCTCCTCCTCCTCCTTCGCCCTCCTCCTCCTCCTCCTCGGAGGAGGAGGAGGAGGAGGATCGCGCCGCACCACCCCAGCGTCGCCGACGCATCGCTGGCTCGCCGATGCGGCGCGATCCTCCGATCCCATCTGCTCGGACCACATCTAGGAGGCCTCTAGAGACGAGGGTCGGACGACGGATGGGGGACTGGAGATCCGAGCCTGGGGCTTACCCATGCCCACCGCCAGGCAAGCCTCAGGGGATCGCAAACATGGATCAAGGGGACGTGGATTAGCGATGGGACCCGTGTCCATGGGAAATCGCGGATATCCGCCGCCGAACGGGGAGGGCACCGCCCGCATTTGGGAGAGGGCACTTCCCCCGATCCATGGGTTTGGACACCGCGCGCCAGGTCCATGGATCGCTGATCCATGTTTGTGCGCCCCCGGGAAACTGAGCCTCTGGAGCCTCGGGAGGCGCTGGACACGCATCTGCTTGGGCCCCCGCCCCCGGGCCACAGCGGCTGCCATGCCCACCGCCCCCTGGGGTCCCAGGACCTCGGCTCCCGAGGCGGGGTGGACTGGGACACGGTGGGGGCGTTGGTGAAGGAGTGTGCCCAGGATCGAAGAAGAAAAAACTCTATAAACGTATGTTTTTGGCGCTCCGCGCGGATTTCTTGGATCCGCGCTGGGCCCCCCCCCCCTCCCTTGCAGCGCCTCCAGCGCCGCCCCTGGCGCGCTCCGCGCGCCATGGGAGGGGGTCCGGCGCAGATCCAAGAAATCCGCGAGGAGCGCCAAAAACTTATGTTTGCAGCGTTCTTTTTCTTCTACAGGAGGCTGCAGACCCTGAAGGATTCCATATTTGATGAGTAGGGCGGTGGTGTCCATGGCCGATCCACGATTGGAGTTCCACCGGCTTCGAGACCCTGGATTCCTTACCTGTTGGTCCTTTGTCTAATGCCCCTCGCCAGGCTGACGTTTTCGTCGGTTCTCGGCGGTCCTCTGGCACCTGGAGGTTTGCCCACAGTCGCGCCTGGCTGGGAGCGCTTTGGGGATGCCCGGGTCGTCCCGCGCGGCCGCCGGAGACCCGGCCCGTGACCCGAAAGCTGGGGCGACGAGGCTCGGTCGGTCAGGAGCGAAAAAAGGACGTACGCGTACATGAATCCACGCTGGTTTCGAGAGTTCGCATGGCGCGAATGTTCGTATTATGCGGCCGGTCTCGCGGGTCAAGGGGCCGTGTTCATGTACATAGCTGGGCGCGTACATCCTTTGTGGGCTCCCTAGTCGGGGGCCCCGGGGGCCCAGAAAGAGGGGGGGTGTGTACGAGAGCTGCCGTGCGCAGCCAGTTTCGGCCCCACCGCCAGACGCCCTCTCCGCACGTTGGCGCCCCCGGCGCCGGGAGGCGCCGGGACGTGCCCCACTGCGTGAGCTGGTTCGAATGAGAACCCCCGTCTCCAGTCCCCCCCTCTCGCCCGACCCGAGAGACGAGGGGGACGGGAGTGGGAGGACCCTGCTCGGGAGGAGGATGAGTGTGACGATGGCGGCGCGGGGCATACCCCCGCGCTAATACCCCCGCGCTCCTTGCCTCTGTTTTCCAGTGCATCAATAGGGGACGAATTATTCTGACGGCGCTGGTTGTGGATCACGCAGCGCCTAGATATTTGCTTATGCGCGCTCCGCAGGTTCTCCAGATCACTGTGCCTGAGGGGGCAATTCAATGTGAGTATAATTTTGCGCCATGGGGCTCGCCCCCCTGAGGTCCAACATGCCGCGACAACAGAGCGGAAAAGTCATATCATCGTGAAGTCCCGGCCAGAGCGTTTTCAACCCCATGGAATGTGTCCAGAAGCCTACAGACCCTGGAGGATTCCGTATCTGATGATGGCGGCGGTGACGTCAGTGATCAAAGCACGAGTGGAGCTCCACCAGCTTCCAGACCCTGGATTCCTTATCTAATGGTTCCCTATTCCGAGGCTGGGATTTATCCAGAACCACCGCCTGGGAGATCGATCTTCGGGGACCTCGGCAGGCGGTGGAAATGCACATACTCGGGCCCCCTGGGGCCGAAGTATATCCATATCCACCGCCGGCTGGGGTCCCAAGACGTACGTGACGCAGGCGGTGGTCATGGATATATCCCCGCCCAGGCGGTGGATGTGGATGTATGCCCTCACCGTATGATCGGGTCGGACGCACGCTGAACTGAACTGAACTGATGATGAGGGCCCATCGTCACCCTACCTGAAGGGTGGGAAGGAACAAAGAGTTCACTCCCGATCGCAGCTAGCAAGAGAAGAGCCCTCCCTCGGGGACGGCCCCCCTGTGGAGGACGCGCCTTCGACGCCCCGAGCCCTGGTCCGCAGCACGCCCAGGGCGGAGGCTTCTCTGGAGGCCCATCCTGGAGCCCACGGCAGGCCTGCCCCCGAAGGGCCCCCCGAAAGGACCCAACGTAGCCCCGAACAAGAACACAGGGGGAGGAGGGGGAGGAGGAGGAGGAGGAGGAGGAGGAGGAGGAG